CTCTCTATTATTGTAGGGTCTGCCTTACAATATAAAGGACCTTGAGGCAACTGTTGTTGTGATTTGGTGCTGTATAAATAAAATTGAATTGAAAATGTAATTGAATTACTGGTGGAAATGGGTTGCTCTCCAGCAGGTCAAAGATGTAAAATATATATCTCAATAGCAGGTTTCAGGGAGGAAGAGCTCGAAAATCTGACCACCAGATGAGGTAGTCAGTCTTCTGAACTCAGTGCAGTCTGCTTACCGAGAAACAGACTAAAAGCAGATGGATGCTACAACAGGATGGCACGAGAGTGGTCGCAGCGGGAGAGCATCATGATTTACTTTGACATCATGTGTATTTGTCCAATTACTTCTGAGTCAATCATTCACAATCACTGACTCAGAAGTGCAAATAAAGCAGTTTATGCCGGTCATGAGATTCCACTTAAGCTCTCTACCTGAGCTAATGATCCACACTGCTGTAAAGAATTCCTAGATTACTTCCTTTACTTACTTTTCAGATAAACACATCCTTAAAAGACTCCTTCACAGAGTGAGTAAAGAAAGATGACGACTGATATGATAGATAACCAATTCCATCTGATGAAAGGGGCCCCCAGCTCCAAACAACAACAGCCCTCACAGGCCTGAAATCTCAGGTACAGACAAAACAACTGCAGTCTGCACTATCGTCAGATCAACTCTGCAAAGTCAAAGTGTAAAACCCGACCAGACCAGAGTAGGGATTTGGCTTCCAGATGCACAGATGCTCGCTACCTTCCCTATGCAGTACCAACTGCAAGGCCTCAACTCGCAGTGTGTGTTCACATGGGTGGGTGACACTCGATCATAGTCTGCACAGACTGGGTTATTCATTTAACAGGAAGCACAGTTAATATATTTTCAAGGCACATTCCATCACACTGAGCCTAGTTTGGAACAGGACAGAGAGCGTGAAATAGCAGAGCGCTCACACCCACACACAACCTCAGAGACAAATAAAAGTGGCTGATTTAGTGCAGCAAAGTGCCACCGAGACTACATCAATCCGAATAAGTAACACAGCTAGAGTTACACGCTGAGCACAAATATTTTACGATGGTGATGGATCTTTATTGTGCTCTTGTGCAATACTGACTACACATCAAGAGCTCATTAACAGTGACTTTAGGTCTATTTTTGCACAGGGTATAACAGAATCCTTAACAAAGATTAGGAAAGAAAAATCACTTTAAATTCTGAATTTAGGTTACCAGCACTTCTGATCTTCGATGGGTGGTGTTGGCAGCCTTAGAGCTTTAACTTTGAAGTTTCAGCAGACTGGTGCAGCAAGTTAAAGGGTAACTGTGCATGAAGGTCTGCATTGTGATTTGGGTCATTGTTCCAGCTGCTAAAGCTCTTCTAAAGCGTCTTTTTTTTATTACTGCTGCACTCTTTCCCTGCTGCGAGTCCTTGTGCAAGGATTATAGTATGAAAACACAAGTGACCTCAGTGCGTCTCGAGAAAGTGGAGGGGAAAAGTGTGGGCTGTCATTAACTATGCTCTTGATGGCTTCTGAAGGAGCGGTAATTGAAATGTAATATCTCTCTGTGCTGCAGGAGGGAAATCATGCTACTGTGACTGACTTCCATCTGGCAGTCAGACCAATGAATAACCACAATAAATACCTACTCGTTAGTGGCAGAGAAAGTAAAGACTGAGAAGTATCTACTATCCAGATGGAGTATGCTTAAGTACACATTTTTTAATAAGAGTGTTATAAAATTCTGGATGCTAAACAGTTTTTCTAGCAGCAACTGTGCTTAATGATTTAGAAGGGCATAAATGATATGGTGTTTAAAATCCATTTCAATCAGCCAACACAATGCGGCCACTAACTGACCTGAGCAACTTCAATGGCCTAATGGCAGGACTGGCGTACTACGTACTGAGACGAGCTAACCATCAATTGGTGGCGGAAGGCTCCACCTATAATCTTAGACTGCATTTCCAAAAATGCACTGTCCCTGTCAGTGCCTGCACTGGTGCTAGTGAGGAGCCACTTCATCACTGTTCACTTTTGGCAAACAATTTGACATGTTAAAGATTTGCATGTTAAATAGTGTTATGTTGCAGAAGAAAATGTTAGCACTAAGAATCAATGAGCTTCATCTGTAAAATTGTTAGTGGCTGAGTCAGTGGTTATTAACTTCTGTTAATAATTGCTATTTGTGTGATGATGTTCGTGTAAGGTTTCATGCAGACTGGCATATACAGGATATGTCTTCTTGTGAGCCTTGGCAGGAATACTAACAAGTCATGAAAATTTTTAAACATATTTGTACACTGGTGTGATGGACGTAAATCATTTTAACTACTTTATAGTACTGATATTTCTTCTTTGCTTAGAGCAAGAACAGCCAGCATCCCATAACATCCAGTGGTCTCTAACATTATCTGGACAACAGTAAATCTGTGTATGGAGGCTGTGTCATCACACAGAGTAAAACAGAAACTCCTTTAAGAAGTACCACCAGGTTCAAGTCCTTGTTCATAGGGGATGGTTTGATTGTTGGGGGGTTTTCTCCATATCATTCTAGGGTCTTTACCCTTAAAGTGACTGTTGATGCAATTCGGCACTATATAAATAAAACTGAAATAATTTGAATTGAATATATATAGAAACAGAAATGCTAACTTAAAGGATATAGAGCACATTATCACATCAGCTAAACTGTTTCCTCCCTGCTTCTCTTCCTCTTTCCCCATTTTTCCAAAGCACTGAGGACGTTAGTGTGGATAGGAGGACAGGCAGGAAACCTGACTGCAGTTCATCACCGTTATACAGGAAGGACTGCTGGAAAAAGGGAAAAATCTGCAAACCAGGCAAACATTTAATAGGTTTGTATCACTTCAAGGCTCTGAATTAATTTGTTCCAAATTAAATGCATTCTTACTGTGAGTAGAAGTGAAAGATTTCTGTGCTCAAACACTCACTCATGAATGTTTCATGTGTAAAAAATTGTAAAATAATTAATAAAAAACAACATTTTAAGACATTTAGTATAATGACATTAGAACTATGCTTTCAGGTATGACAGCATTGCTTGGCCTAATGAGCTCACATTTCAATGTGAAGCTACAGCGCTTTCAGAAGTAATCCTATAAAAAAAACCCTGAAAGAGATTTTACTGCTGACACTTTTCTGGAGCAACACAGGAAATAAAAATGTGAAATAATCTGAGTTGAAACAAGAACCCTTCTTCTTTTCCCTGCAGCGCTGTCACTGAAATGTGCAAAGACAACTGGCAGAAGGCAGCTCGGGGCCACATAACTGCCACAGCAGGCGGCTGGGCTCTCCCCCTTTGCTCCTGAAAGTTATCCTCCCACCTCTTTTAATCCACCCCTCACTCCACTTTGGCCCTAATCCTCTCATTCCTCCCTGTCTTTATCTTCCTCCTGTTTAACTCCCTCTCTCGGCCTCCCCTCTTCCTCCATCCCTCCTTCGTCTCTAAGAATCCGAACGCTCCAGTGAAGCGTATTGAGAATGAAGACTTGACAAATATGGTTAAAAGGAATCAAAGGAGCATAACTCAGGCAGCTTAAAGTTATATTTTCCATGCTTAAACGTAGTACTGTGCACAAGAAATAGGAAATGCACAGCGACATTTGCCTCAACACAATGAAGATTCCCTGGAAATGAAGGAAAACGAAACCTTGTGAAATCCTGCTGAGCGGATTGTTATTGACATCAGTCGGAAGCAAAAAAAAGTAGGAGAAGATAAAAAACAGTCCAGCTCTGCTGTTTGGATAACCAAAAATGTCAAGCTGGTCCAGTGGTGGAAGAGCAGCGAGGAGCTTCCTGCAGCTCAAGGAGCTCTGGAGGAATGGCATGGAATAAGTTTATGTGTGAGCTTGTGTCTTCATGTGGGTACAAGTTTGTATGTCTTCTTGCTCTTGTGTGCATGTGTGTCTATTTGTGACACGTAATGCAGCAGGACCACACAGTCCTTGTGGTATGCGGGATTTCCAGGTTCAAAATAGGCTCCTGCTGTGGGAGGAGGGCAGGAACAAACAGGAGAGAGGGGGAGAAGGGAAGGAGAAGTGTAATGAGGACAACAAAATACACGACTCCAGTTTTCATCTTCTTGTCAACATTGTTACAGTTGAGCTAACCGCTTGTCAACAAGGGGAAGTTTCTGTGGTTTACTAACATGACAACTGTCATGGTGTCACAGATGGAAAGTGGCCAGATCTATTTAATTGGCATGTTGGGAGGGAAAGAAGCACTACTGCATTGCAAACAGCTAAAGAGAAAAGTCAAACTCCTAATGGATGAAAACATTTCTTCACTCTGATCAAAGCGAGGAACCGGAACACCTCAGAAGATGCACACATTTTTTTGCCTTTTAGCACTAACAGGTCTCCAGCTGACAGATTCCATAATGCTATTATAACTATTTAGTGCGTTTTACAAGAAACGTTAAACCTGTTCAGGCTGTATGCAAGCCTAAAATAGGTGGAGTGACCCTTTTAAGTAAAAGTCTTGACGTTATGGATGCGCAAGAGGCAGAAATGTGATTCTGTACAACGCAGCTTACTTTTGCACCATTATTTTCACACAGACACACACACGCACACACACACACACACACACACACACACACACACACCTTTTATCATTGTTCCTAATCCTGTTTAAAATAATCGTTCGGTCTGCTAAAACCTGTGATCCTCAGCAGTGAAAGGTCTGACAGCGAGAGGGAAAGTTTTCTGAGGCGCTCTGTGGGTACGCTTCAGGCTGCACGGGCAGCAGAGCTGAGAAGCGTCTCTGCCCGCTCTGAGTCACCTGTTACACCTCGCTGTTCGCGGCTCTGCGGAGAGCCACGCGAACAGCGCCAGAGAGAAAGCTTTCCCCCGGCCCCCTTCAGCTCCAGAACTCCGAGTTCGCGTTAAATACGTTATATAGTGACACCAGAGCGCGTGACAGCGAACAAGCAGAAAGTTTGTTAAACTTCGGTGTTTGTGTAACTCACCGGCAGCCCCGGGCTCCAGCAGCACAGATATGAGAAAGGCTGATACAACTCCGCGGAAAGTTAGAGAGCAGCGCCGTGCCTTCATGATTCTGTGTCCCCCTGCCCGAGATTCTCAGTCACACGAGCCGCGGAGTACGAGAGAGTCCAGGGAGTTGGCTTTGTGCGTCCGCTACGCTGTGCGCTCCACTCCCCTCAGCAGCTGGAGAGTCACTGCTGAACCATCCACACACACACACTCACACACACACTCTCTCACACCGTTTATAAGCAAGCTCACTCACTTTGCTCTGACAGGAAACCGGAGGAGGCAGGAGGGGCTCTCTCTCTCTCTCTCTCTCTCTCTCTCTCTCTCTCTCTCTCTCTCTCTCTCTCTCTCTGTGTGTGTGTGTGTGTGTGTGTGTGTGTGTGCGTGTAACCGCCTACCCAAATACTGGAAATCGGAACAGTAAACAAGTCATTATATATTTAAATAGTGTGTGATCTGTGAAACTTCGCCAGGAAATGTTCTGGAATTATACAGAACTGCCAGAAAGTTTACATTTAAAGATTGCAGGACACAGTAAATTACATATTTTACATTCACAAATAAATTTTTTTCTTCTTTCTTACAACATACAAAAAATACAGACCTCTCTTTTTGGATCGCTATTTTGTAAGGGACACCATTTATATTATATGAGCATATGAGAATATTTAAATCAGTCACTCTTTATGCCACCTTATGATAAGACTAAAGGAACATATTTCATTTTAAAGTAAGTTACAGGGCTTTCCCTGCCTTCCTAGATGGGTTCTATTTTACTAAAAACTATCTAATATCCACATAGTTACAGATTTGTATAATTACAATATTAAAAAATACACACACTGTATTTTAAAAGAAAATACATTAAGAAACAGATTATAGTAATTTATATTTCAAAAATGACAAAAATGCTCATTTAACAGCAGCAAAAAGGTCGGTGGTTCGATCCCAGGCTGCATGTCAAATATCCTTGGGCAAGATACTAACCCCATGTTGCCTACTGGTGGTGGTCAGAGGGCCCGGTGGCGCCAGTGTCCAGCAGCCTCGCCTCTGTCAGTGCGCCCCAGGGCAGCTGTGGCTACAATATAGCTTGCCACTGCCAGTGTGTGGGTGAATGACTGAATGTAGTGTAAAGCGCTATACAAATGCAGGCCATTTTACCTTTTTTTTTTTTTTTACATGGTGGAGGCTGTGTCATCACACAGAGTAAAACAGAAACTCCTTTAAGAAGTACCACCATGTTCATCGGGAAAGGTCAACACTGCACCAGGAAGGTACATCAGCTATCACATTATCTACACCACTCGTATGTATGCTGTCTAGATTGTATTCTTGCAGAAAGAGTGGTCTTTTTTTTTAGCTAGAAAGTTGTGTTTTGTTTGTTGTTTTGGCTTCAGAGACTCTGACGCTTCCCTGTGTTTTATTTGTATCCTAATTGGTTGGTTTGCCTTAATCTTAAAATAAATGGCGTTTTACTGACGTTAACTATGCGGTGATTAATAGTTTTTTTTTTCACTTTGTGTTACACCCCATCCCAGATTACACCTTTGCATTAGTGGTGTTGAAAATCTTGGAATTATGAATACAGAATAGTATTTCTTATCAGTGTCTGATTTTGATCACCTGGAAATAATCTGATTAGCATTTTTTTTGCAAGGGATTCAGTAAGAAGTTCTATAATATACATAACAATTCTGTGTCTTCTGAAGTGAAAAGTGTACCTTACCTTAGATATTTCCTGTCGGCTGAGGTTTTTCACTCCAGTCAGCATTTCAGTGCATTTTTTATGCAGCTATTAAAAGGGACAGCATTGACACTGTTGTGCACTGACTGTTATAAAAAGACTAAACCGGCTGTAAGACCCACAGTAGGTAGTAGGTAATAGTTACTAAACAGAGACTTCCAGTTGTAATCTCTGTTGCAGATGTTTATGTTGTCCATTCTCATCAGGGCTGGAGTGTGTATGCATAAGTTCAATAAAAAAATAAGTTTTTGGAGTCTCTATCTTCTGCTATGGAGCTTCAACAGAATCTAGTCATCAAATAGTGTATCACTCAAACTCTGTATTTCATGTCATCCCATAAATCATGTTCAGTTACTTCAAATGATCTCACCTTTTTGAAACAAGTGACTGTGTAGTTGCCATTTCCAGTAAAGAATGAGATTCTTTTTTGGTGGTTAGGTTTACACTTTGCCTTTCGACCCTTCACTCTAGCCTGTGGAGGAGGTGGTAACACCTTGCATGGTTTCAGAGCACCAGGTTCTGAAACCATTGCTGAGAGCTAAAACAACTTGTTTCAGACAGTGACAAGTTGAGCAGCTGCAACAAGGCCCAGCATAATACAAACAAGGAGTATTTGGTACTGTGAGTCATGCAGACCTTTTCTAGAAGCAAAACTATGGAACTGGAAACGAGCATTTTAAACTCATTATAAGCACAATAATTGAGAAGATGTTCTGAGATTATTTCACAACTGCATGTCTGTATGTCCAACTCATGCTACTAGATGAAAGATTAACACACACACACACACACACACACACACACACACACACACACACACACACACACACACACACACACACACACACACACGCACACACTTCACAATTTTTCAGTTAAGTAACCAAAAGTGACTGACTATGAAACTTTAAAATGAATGTATTCATATGGCAATACCGGAACACTGAGCTGTCTGTGCGTGTGTGTTTGTGTGTGTGTGTGAGACTGATGAGCTTGCTGACAGACGTGTGGCACTGTTTGCAGCACAAACACTGAGCCCAGTGACAGAGAGGTAATGAAGCTGAGCCCATCTGTCTGCTCAAGTCTGAACATGCTGCTCTCTACCAACATTGGAACCGAGCCTTACAGTCTCCAGAGTCTCACAGCCCGCCTCTCGACCCCTCTTCTCTACCAGTGCTCCAGAGTCTTGCTCCTAAAGCCACAGGTCAGGGCCCAGCGAGCCTTTGGTTTTGAGATCCCACGAGACAGCAATAGTAGAATATGTTTTATAGGCAGAAGGTACAAATACAGTGAGTTTCCCTTAATGTCTAAAAATAGATTTTTTTTCCTCTCTTTTTTTTAGTTAGTGGGAATTTTCTGGGTTTTTAACCAGAATCCTATTTTGGTATGATAATTCTGGCCAGCAGTCTTTTCTCTTGTATTGCTGTTTATTACACTATACTATTGTTTCATGTGTTTTAGACATTGGTATCTACTCCAAAACTGCAGTTGTTTGTGTTTTACGCATTCCTTTGTAAAAAGTCCGAAAATATGTTATATGACCTTTGGACTCAATTTTTCTTTATGCCCTCGTTCCAAAAATATCAATATTTTCCATAGTTTAAGTAATCATAGAAAGGCTTGATGCAGACCCAAACAATATTAAGCAAACTTTCTCGATTGGGGGGGAATCTTTTGATTTATACTAACTCTGTATCCTCCTGAGAACCAGACTATTCATTTATGTCCTGTGTAATGGACATTTGTTCTTATTTTAGCTACCCTAAATCCTGATGTGCTAAATGGAGGACATCCTGAGCTTTCCATTAATATCTCATGTGTTTGGGTGGCCTCTTTTATCTCAGAAGAGGCAGGAAATCACAAAAAAGTTAAATGGGAAGATTCTTTTTTTCCTCTGTTCTCAGCAAGGTGTGTATTCTAGACGCGAATCAATTAATATATCTGACTTTTCATTCTAAAAGATCTACAACTAACACTAAGAACACAAGAGTGGAAAAAAGTCTGATTATGTGCAGACACTTCTTTAAGACATGCCTATAGTTTAACTAGTTGATGTATATCATCTGGTTTCATGGATAAATAAAGCTGAGTGTCGTCTACATAGCAATTAAAATGTATCCAGTGTTTGGTAATAATACTGTCCAAGGTATTGATCCTAGCATGGATGCCTGTAGGCCTCTGATTAACCTTTGTCTGCAGGGAAGACTCCCCATTTACATGCACAAATTCAAGTATATTAAGTAGATATGCTTCCAGTTATTGTAGAGCAATGCCTTTAACAACAATGATGTTTACTAATATCTGTAATAAAATCAGTGCTATCCAGTCCTTCACTGGGATCTAGCAGATCAAGAACAGAAATGAGCCCACTGTCAGAGCCAGATCATTTGTAGCTTGCAAAAAAAATCCTAAAACCTGACTGAAATACTTGAAATGAACCATTCCTCTGCAAATGATTAGTTAACTGTTTTAAAAACTACCCCCATGTTGTAGACAACGGCAAATTGATGGTTTAGAGGAAAACCTTATTAAAGTTAACTCAGAAAGATTGAAAGAATAAAAGAGTTTAATTTTTTCTCCAGTGGTTAAAATTTCATCTGTCAAGAGATTCATGAAGTCAATGCTAGTTAACGTTAAATGAATACTCTGCTCGACACAGCTCTGAAGAGAAACTTGGGGCTGTTCCTGTTTTTCCTGATTAATGAGAAATAGTCCTAGCTTTACAGGGGGCTTAAAAAGACGTAACACACTACTTTTCCAGATCAAACAAATATTTTTTAAATGAGTCTAAATTACACGTTATCTGCTTTGCCCTCTTTTTTTTAGAGGAACCACAGTAAGACTATTAATGTGATAATTGACGTCTGTGGGAGTAGCGTTGAGTTAGCTGTTCTGCATTGTGTTGGCACATGGCATTGAGAAATCACTTTCTTAAACCTGGTTACAGCACTTCCAGAAATGCATCTTGTTCTGACCACCACAAGAGAAAGACCCAAATCCAGATGCCAATGTGCAAATAGCGATCAGATTCACAATTCTTTATTCTACACACTATTTTAAACAAAGAATACCACACAATTTTGCGAGGGAAATCACTGGGGTGACATTTGGCTAATCACCGTTTTTACAAAGCAGTGTGGGGAACACTGGGGCTACAGGTGAACACAGGTGACTGGCTTGTCACAGTGCTGGGGCAGAGAGTCACTGAAGCAGTGGGTTTGCACCACAGGAGAATTTCATTGATAATGACCATGAAGAAAAGAATTTGTAACTGCTGGACCAAATTTAGCAGGAACAATCACTGATCCTGGGAAAGCAGAGGAAAGACTGGATACCTCAATAGACAGAAATCCTTATTTAGTGTTCCTCACAGCTGTTGATGAAAATAGAAGCTTTGGAAATTGTTAAACAAAAAATAAATGTAAAAGTGAGAAATCCTTGGATTGTAAAGATGTTGATATGATAGTGGTTAAAAACATCATT